CTGATAGGGAAGAACAAGGAGAGCCCAAACCCTGACACGTCCTGAAGGAGGGCAAGGAGCAGCCCCTCACACACTGCTGTGCTGAGGGAGAACCCAACAGCCCCAAGCCCACGGCGTTGGCTTTGCACTCACACAGCCACTGCAGTCTGCACCATCAGGAGGCACCGGCTTTGCCGTGCTGGGGCTGTGGGTGGAGAAAACTCATAGACTGAACTGGGTTGGAAAAGCCCTTCAGGATCACCCAGTGCAACCATTGCCCCACAGCCACCACTGCCCCATGGCACTGGGGCCTCGTCTCCATGGGGTGTGAACCCTTGCAGGGCCGGTGCCTGCAGCCCTGCCCTGGGCAGCCTGTTCCAATGCCTGAGCACCCTCTGGGGCAGGAGCTGTTCCTCAGCTCCATCTAACCAGTTCCAATGCCTGAGCACCCTCTGGGGCAGGAGCTGTTCCTCAGCTCCATCTAACCAGTTCCAATGCCCGAGCACCCTCGCACCCCATCGTTGGGAATCAGCTGTCGGGCAGGGAAGCGCCGGTGCGGGTCTGGGCACCGTGCCCGGGGCCCCACCCTGACACCGCGTCCCCTCCCTCGGGTGCCAGGGCCCCCCCGGCGCAGGCCCTGGGGGTGCGGGGCAGGAGGAGGAGCCGGACGCACCCTATAAAAGCGGGGCCGGGCAGCGCCGGTCGCCAGCGTGCGACCCCTCGGGAGCAAGAGCCCAGACCTCCTCCGTCCCCGCGGCAGCCACACGCTACCCTCCGCCAGCACCATGGTGCACTGGACAGCCGAAGAGAAGCAGCTCATCACCGGCCTCTGGGGCAAGGTCAACGTGGCCGAATGCGGAGCCGAGGCCCTGGCCAGGTAGGTCCAGCCCTGGGCTCTGCACCGTGGGCACAGGAGCTGCGGCGCTTCCATTGGGGAGCATTCACGTGCCCGTGCCTTGTGTCCCCGCAGGCTGCTCATCGTCTACCCCTGGACACAGAGGTTCTTCTCTTCCTTCGGGAACCTGTCCAGCGCCTCCGCCGTCCTCGGCAACCCCAATGTGCGTAACCACGGCAAGAAGGTGCTCACCTCCTTCGGGGAGGCCGTCAAGAACCTGGACAGCATCAAGAACACCTTCGCCCAGCTCTCCGAGCTGCACTGCGACAAGCTGCACGTGGACCCCGAGAACTTCAGGGTGAGCCTGCTCCCGCTGCGGCTCCGGTCCCATCACCACGGGAGGGATGGACCCAGGATGTGCCAGGGCAGGAGGAAGAGGGGCTGGTGCCTGGGGCAAGGGGGAGCTGCAGCTTGGGGAGAAGGCATTAAAGGGGCTGGAGGTGCTGGGTAACGGAGAGGCCGTTGGAGGGTGCAAGGCAGGATGGAGATGGGAAGGGGGAGAGAGGTGGTTTCAGTGCGGAAAAGGAGGGGGAGTAAAGCGAAAGCAGTTGCTGAGCAGGAAGAGGTTTTGGCCAAGGGGAGGCGAAGGAGCAAGAGTGAAGCTGGCACAGAGGAGAAAGGAGACGAGAGCGAGGAGCGAGAGGTGGCAGCCAGATACTGAAAGCAAAAGGGGAACGGGAGCTGTGAGTTCTGCTCCAGAGGAACTCCCCAACAGAGCCAAGGGGAGGAATGGCAATGTGATCCACAGAATTCATGGAGAAGCTTTGCTCGCCCTCCCCACAGCAGCGGCAGGACCCAGACCTTTAGAGTCAGAGCAGGAACCAGCCTGGTGTCCACCGGGAGGGTTCCAGGGGACTCTCAACCCTATGAGATGCCCATGGGTTCCCCTGGCTCTGACGCGAGTGTTTGCCATGGGGTGTGCGGGGTGCTGCTAACCCCAGGCTGCTCTTGTTCCCCCAGCTCCTGGGTGACATCCTCATCATCGTCCTGGCCGGCCACTTCGGGAAGGATTTCACTCCCGACTGCCAGGCTGCCTGGCAGAAGCTGGTCCGCGCCGTGGCCCACGCTCTGGCCCGCAAGTACCACTAAAGAGCAGCACCGGAGCCCCGGCAGCACCCTCAGCACCCGCTGACTGCTGCTGCAGAGCCAACAGCTTCTAACAGCCAAATAAAGCTCATCTGTGAAGTCTCGCCTGAGTCTGGGTGTCCTTGGGAGCCTCGAGGGCTGGGGCACACGGGGGTGCGGGGGTCTGGGTGCCCGCTTGAGCAGGGAGCGTGTTCTGCTCCTGGGAAACGCCGCCTTCCTTTGCGCTGTGTGCGGGGCTTCGGGGGGCTCTGTGGCACCCGCCTTTGGAACCGACACTTCCAGAGAGCTGGGGATGCGCAGCCCTGCTGCCCCTGCGGTCCGGCGCTGGGAATGCTGCTGTTCTGGTGTGAAACCCGGGTGTTTATCGTAGGCAAAGCGGAGGATTCGTGGCTTTGAGGGAGTGAATAAAGTGAGGAGCTGAATGGAGCCCAAAGCCTGCCCGAAAGAGCTGACTCACGGTGGCCCAGCAGCCGCTGGGTGGGGGCCGGCTGCAGATAAACGCTCTGCTATCAAGACACGGCCAGACCCTGTTTATTCACCTCCTCCCGTGCCGGCCCTGCTGCAGCCGTGCCGCGGGGTGCAGCCCTGCCGCTGTGCTCACCCCCGAGGCGGGCATCACCCGATGCTCGGCTGTGGGTGCTGGGTGCCTGCAGAGCAGGAGTGTCCAGGGCAGAGCCTGCTCTTGGCATGGGCAGAGCCTGCTCCTGGCATGGGCAGCGCCTGCTCTTGGCATGGGCAGCGCCTGCTCTTGGCATGGGCAGAGCCTGCTCTTGGCATGGGCAGCGCCTGCTCTTGGCATGGGCAGCGCCTGCTCTTGGCATGGGCAGAGCCTGCTCTTGGCATGGGCAGCGCCAGGGCAGAGCCTGCTCTTGGCATGGGCAGCGCCTGCTGTTGGCATGGGCAGCACCGTCTGACCCAAAGTGCTGCCGAAAGGATGTGCTGGGTTTCTAAAGGGAACACGGTGGCACCGCTCCATGTCCCTGTGCCTCCAGCACCCTCTGTGCACTGCGTCCTGCCCCTGCTTCATCCGCACCTGTGTGCATCCCAGCTGCAGGATGCCCTGACCCACTGCAGGGTATGGAAATGGCCATAAATGCCCCTTCTCTTGCTCAAAGGAGTACAATCATGGAATAGTTGGGGTTGGAAGGGACCTGCAGAGGTCACCCGGTCCAATATGAGCTGATTCTATGATTTAGTGTCTGCTGTCAAGGCAGACCCCGGGAAGGGGAGAAGATGATTTGTACTAAGTCCCAGAGTGCTTTCTCCCTGCAGGGCTCTGGGCAGGCACGAGGGGCAGGAGTCCAGGCTCAGAAAACCAGGCTCCTGGATGAGTTTTCTTGGGTTTTCTGGTAGATTTCCACAGACTGTCATAGGAAATGACCATTGACAGACCTCAGGCTGACCTATGTGGACAAGAGGGTCTCCTGCAAGCAAAGAGTCTGGGCTAGAAATGAGCTGAGCAGGCCTCTCAGGTGAGACCCCACAGGTCAGTGCAGGGAGGGCTGTGCTCTCCCCCGTCCATGTTCCCACCAGGACACCCCTTCCCAGGAGCAGGGATGAGGTTTCCATCCCCAGCACCAGCAGCATGGCAGGATGGACGCAGTGCCACTGGTGCTGCCCACGGCATCACTCCCATCCCCATCCCCAGCGAGGGGATGACACCCCAGTCCCTGTGTCCCAGCAAGCAGGCCCTGTGAGATGGGCTCTCCCTGTGCTGCTTTCCCTGCTCCCAGTTTGTCTCAGACATTTTTCCTGCATGCTCTCTCCCCAGTGAGGTGCTCAATGGGATTTATCCCCGTGCTCCAGCTCAGCAGCCCACAGGCACAGGAAAGGCCAGATGTAGGCAACCCCAATAGAGAGAATTCATCCCTATTCCATGGGAAGATGTCCCCAGCTACAGGGGGAAGGAGATACTGTCCCTTCAATGCTTCTTTGGACTGATTTTCCTCCTCGTTCCTGTGTTTTCAGTAGGAGGCCAGGAGGACACTTAGCAGGAGGTGGCCCATGGAGGAAAGCAAGCCCTGATGTCTGGAGAGCAGCTCGGTCAGCCCTTGAGATCTGCTGTGGCCTGGCCACCTAAACACCCCATCCAGCAAGATCCAGCACCTCTTACTTAGCCCAACCCAAATCCCATGGAGAACAACAGGAATACAGGGGATTGCCCCAGGTGCTTTGGGGTCAGGGTCAAAGCCTCTCTGCTTCCAGGAAGGACGGGGTTTCTTTGGGTTTTTTATGCAGAAAATCATGGGATCATGGAATGATTTCTGTTGGAAGGGACCTTAAAGCTCCTTCCAGTTCCAGCTGCCTGCTGTGGGCAGGGACACCTTCCACTAGAGCAGGTTGGAAAGGGTGATCCTGTTTGATAGTTGCTCCCTGCCCAGGAGCACAGCACCTGGCTGGTCCTATACATCTGAGGGGAGAACATCTCGTGAGCTTCTGCCTGCTCCAAAGGGACAAGGAAACCAAGCAGGTCCAGTTATAGTGGGACATTAATGCAGACAATGCAGATGTCAGCGGTAAAGCCTGGGCAGCCTCTGAACAACACCAGTGCTGCCCACAGGTCCCAGTGGAGGAAGGAGGCTGGAGCTCTCCTGCAGTGCTGGGACCTGCAGGGTTTGCTCTGCCAGGGGCTGCATTTGGCAGGAGCATCCATCCTGTCCAGAGAAGGGAATGGAGCTGGTGCAGGGCCTGAAGCACAGGGGTGATGGGGAAGGGCTGAGGGACCTGGGGGGTTCAGATGGAGAAGAGAAGGCTCAGGGGGGACCTGATGGCTGCCTCCAAGTGCCTGAGAGGAGGATGGAGCCAGGAGGGGCTGGGCTCTGCTCCCAAGGAGCAAGGGATGGGACAAGAGGAACCGGCCTCAAGCTGCACCAGGGCAGGTTTAGATGGAGCTGAGGAGCAATTCCTGCCCCAGAGGGTGCTCAGGCATTGGAACAGGCTGCCCAGGGCAGGGCTGCAGGCACCGGCCCTGCAAGGGTTCACACCCCGTGGAGATGAGGCCTCAGTGCCATGGGGCAGTGGTGGCTGTGGGGCAGTGCTGGGAACACTTGCACTGGATGCTCCTGAAGCTCTTTCCCAATCCAGTTCATTGATTCTATGATTTCGCTTGTAGAGGCTGAGGCAAACCCAGCATCTGGGAGAGCCACGGCTCCAAGCTCACACGCAGTGAGCCCCATGTTAAACCTTGATGGAGCTGCCCTGCAGTGGCTGCTGCAGCCCTTTCCCTGCAGAGGGGCCCACGCTGCTCGGGGGATGCCTGCACAGAAGGGCAGGGATAAAGCTCTTGTGATCAGGATAACGAGAGGCCCCTTCTGCACACACCACACCCTGACCACCCCCTTCCCTTCTGCTGCCCCCCACGGGGACCCCCAGCGCGCCCCAGCCAATGGCCCCATGGGGAGGAGCTGCTCCAGGGGATAAAAGCCTGCGTGGGGTCGGCAGCGCAGCCACGGGTCCCTGTCCTCCCCCTGCCGCCGCCGCCGCCTCCGCCGACACCATGGTGCACTGGACAGCCGAGGAGAAGCAGCTCATTGCCAGCCTCTGGGGCAAGGTCAACGTGGAGGAATGCGGAGCCGAGGCCCTGGCCAGGTAGGTCCAGCCCTGGGCTCTGCACCGTGGGCACAGGAGCTGCGGCGCTTCCATTGGGGAGCATTCACGTGCCCGTGCCTTGTGTCCCCGCAGGCTGCTCATCGTCTACCCCTGGACACAGAGGTTCTTCTCTTCCTTCGGGAACCTCTCCAGCCCCACGGCCATCATCGGGAACCCCAAGGTCCGTGCCCACGGCAAGAAGGTGCTCACCTCCTTCGGGGAGGCCGTCAAGAACCTGGACAACATCAAAGCCACCTACTCCAAGCTGTCGGAGCTGCACTGCGAGAAGCTGCACGTGGACCCCGAGAACTTCAGGGTGAGCCGCGTCTGCAGCCCCAGCCCCTTCCAATGGGCTGTGGGGAGAGGAGGGGTTTGCCCTGGAACAGGGGGTGCTCTGTCAGGGGGTGCTGTCTCTGGCTCGTGGTGCCCGTGTGAGCTGATGGCTCGTTTGGGGCTGGTTTTAACAGTTTTGGGGACTTTCACACCCCGAAGCCCCATTTTTAGCCCCTGCACCAATGGGGAGGAGGAGGTGTTGGGAGACCTGAAGGAGATCTGGCTGGGGATAAAAGGCACGGAGGGGAAGGTGCAGCTTGGCTGGAGGGGGCAGAGGGAAGCCAAGCACAGCACTAGAGGAAATCCTGCAGTGAGATGAGCAGCTTGAGAGCCCCAGGGCAGGCTCCTGCGGGTGCTGCCTGCGGGGATAGGAGCCTCCCTCCAGCACTTCTGGGCAAAACCAGATCAGTTCCTTCATTTGCATCTAAAGAGAAAGAGAAAAAAACCCCATCATTTTGCGGGGTGGGTCCCCAGGCCAAATTGCTTTAAAATCCCCAAATTGGGGGGGAATAGTTTTAAAGTTTCCTTTTTGTTTTTCTTTTCACTTCTTAAAGAATGAAGCAAATATGATTTTAGAATTATAGAATCAACAGAAAATTTCCCCAAATCCCAGAGTTTCCTATGGAGAAGCTGAGGGTTTTGTTGTAGCAGTCCCAGGGAACACGGAGTGACCCATACCCAGTCCTGCAGCCCCATAGCCAGACCAGCCCCATACCCAGCCCTGCAGCCCCATAGCCAGACCAGCCCCATACCCAGTCCTGCAGCCCCATAGCCAGACCAGCCCCATACCCAGCCCTGCAGCCCCATAGCCAGACCAGCCCCATACCCAGCCCTGCAGCCCCATTGCTAGACCAGCCCCCATATCCAGCCCTGCAGCCCCAGGGCACTCTGATGATGCTGAGGAGGAAGAGGAGGGACGTGCAGCATGTGAGGGTCCTTTCCAGGGGGGAGCCCAGCCTCGGGGGGGAAGTCAGGAGGGAGGATGCACAGCCTGTGGGTTGCATGGGGCTGTGTGGGGTGGAGAGGGACCAGAGGGAGAGTCCTGCAGCAGGGAGACCAAGGAGGCAGAGCTTGCAGAAAGGAAGGAGCCGTTTAGGGCTAAAGCCGCAGCAGCGCAGGGTGAGGCTGAGGAGCTGTGTGCAGCAGGAGCCTTCTCCAAGGGGTTGTGGCTCCAGCAGCGCACCCCCGGCTGCGGTCCCTGCCCCGTGCCTGCAGCATCAACCCTTCTGCTCTCCTCTTTCCCTCCAGCTCCTCGGGGACATCCTCATCATCGTCCTGGCTTCCCACTTCGCCAAGGACTTCACCCCTGCCTGCCAGTTCGCCTGGCAGAAGCTGGTGGGTGTCGTGGCTCACGCTCTGGCCCGCAGGTACCACTGAGCATCCCCCGTGGGATGGGGGGGCCCTGCCCCGCCTCCAGCACTGCTGAGCACAAGGGGACGGGTGCTCCCCGGGTACTGAGCACCCAATAAAGTCCTTCTCCAGCACCAGGCCTGCAGTGTCCGTGTGGGTGCGCCGGGGAGGGGGGGCCAGGGGGGGCTGTGCTCAGGGCAGCGGCATCCTCTGAGGGCTCGCTCCTGGCTTCGGAGCGCTGCTGCAGGCAGGGTCCTTGGCTCTGGGGTGCTCCCTCATGTGCGCTCCCTGCCAGTGGGAGGGACAGGGGCCGGGAGGGGAAACCCATGCGAAGGGGTCTGGCACGAGGGGGTGCTCCAGAGGGGCATGGGAATAACAAGGGATTGCAAAGAATCCGCTGCTTCCTAAGGGAGGTTATGATGCACGTGCGTATCAGACCCCATCCCCATGCACCCACAGTGCCAATGACCCCCCCCCCTGCAGACTGAGAATCATAGAACCATAGAACAGTTCGGGTTGGAAAGGACCTGAAGATCATCCAGTTCCAACCCCTGCCATGGGCAGGGACACCTCACACTAAACCATGGCACCCAAGGCTCTGTCCAACCTGGCCTTGAGCACTGCCAGGGATGGAGCATGCAGTTCCCAGTGTCACCCAGTGAATAAACCCCATCATGGTAACTGGTAGCTGGGTTTTGCCATGCCTGGCCCTCCTCCTCCCATCCGAGGGGCTTTCACGATGCACGGAGCAAGGCTGTGGGTCAGCCTTTGCTGTTCCTTCACTGGGACAATGGTGACAATTCCTTTTTTAGCTGTTTTGTTATGCAACACGTTAATAGAGCCCCCCGTGAAGATGGTCAGGACTGTGCTTATCTTACTCTTAAATCCTGTCTTAACCCAGGACTGGAGACGCTTTGCACAAGGGGCTGGCAACCAGAGCTGTTGACAGCATCGGGGCAGCAGAGGCCTGGCTCTGAAGCTGCTGGAGCTCTCATGGAGAACACGGTTGTTTGGGGTCATAATCCTTCCAAACGTGCCCTCACCTCCCCTGGGCTCAGCAAACACCCCCCATGAACCAGACCCACAGAGAGCAAGCAGCTCCTGCCAGGGCTGTGCAGGCAGCGTGTGCTGACCCTGCCTGGGCAGTGCCCTTCCCACTGCGTTATCCCATGGCTCTGCCCTCGGAGGCTGCAGGAGGTTGCTGGCTTTTCTCACCCCTGCCTTGTTTGGAAGGGAAAGACCCAGTCTGAAGGTGCCCCTGTAACTGCTTTGCTTGGAGGCTGTAAAGGACAGGGTTGGAGCGGGGTGGGGGCAGGATGCAGATTTGCCCATCACAGTGTGGACGATGGGGGGCCTCTTTCCCATATCTGCGCAGGGTTCCAAGCCAAGTTCTGGGATGAAGGAGGCTCAGGGTGTGCAGCCTGCAGGCCCTTGTCCTTGGAGGCAATGCTGAAAGGTGTCACACAGACCACGACAGGGGACAACGAAACAAAGGGGAGATCTGAACCCCTGGTGAAGAAAGTAAGGTCCGGGGCACAGATGCTGTTGGTCGCCCGTCTCTCTGGAGGGCAGGCAGGTCACTGTGGGATGGAGGCAAAGGGGATGGGACAAGGTGTTCCCTGGTCGCCAGGCAGCCAGAGGAGATGCAGAACCCGGGTATGAGCAGCACTGAGCTCCTCTGTGGGTGCCTCAGCCCTGTTTCAGCTGCCCTCGTGCCCCTTGGCATGGTCACAGAGCCCCGGGGGGGCAGGAAGCCATCAGCTGGACAAGGGGCATGGCAAAAAGCACTGCTGAGTGCAGGGAGGTGAGGAAGGAGATGAGGAAGAGCTGGGACACAGTTGGGATTCATGGGATTCATCCCATGGGCAAGGACCACAGCATCCCTGGAGTGGTGGAGACACAGCGCAAGGTCAGCGAGGGCCAGCATGGAGAGGACATTCTGCAGGGCTGGTGGAGGCTTTGGTCTGCTTTGCTGGCACACAGGGTAGCACAGTCTGCATGAACAGAGCAGGCTGAGGTGGAAACTGGGGTAAGATGATGTCCTTCACACGCAGGCAATGTGGTTACCAGGTCTGTGACCATGGGGCTGGTCCAGTGTTCTCAGTGTCCTCTCACTACTTAGGAGCTGCAATCTGCACAGCCCAGATTTGGTTCAGGTCTAGTTTAGAAATGACAGAAACCTCCTGAATGCCCATGAATGTCAGCCCTGATGATGGGCAGCTCAGGCAGCAGGTTGATGGCTTGTTCTGTCACAGCAGCTTCTCTGAGACCCAAGGCAGCACTGCAAAGCTTTGATGGATGAGCACATCGGCTGCTTTGGGAGCAGAGGAAGGGAATTTCCATAACAACAGCACAGACTAATTACTGAGCAGATTCCATGAGAGGAGGAGTTGTTCTTGTGAAAATTGGTGGGGAAAAGCCTTAGGAAATGGTGCTTCTCGTCAGCCATCGATGCCCCCTCTCCTCCTGCAGCCTCCCCCTGCAGAGCCATCACGAGAATGGACCCCCAGGTCTGCAGACAGTGGGATGGGAAATAAAACTCACATTTCTCTCATGAGAATCGTTGTTTGCAGGTGTTAAGGAAGAGAATCAGCCCGGTGCCTGTGCTGGGACAGGGAATGGAGTCCCTGCAGTGAAAGGTGTGGCGGTGTCTGCGTGCTTAGGAGACAAACAGTCGTGGGGTTCCTCGCTTGTTAAATGCTGCAGCACATTGAGATGGAACCCTCAAACCTCCTGCTTAAACCTGTGAGGGGTTAACCGAACCCCAGAGCCTTTAAAGGGATTCTTGTTCGATGCTCCCTGTCAGTGGAAGGAGCAAGATAACCAAAGGACTATCGGGAATAACTGTTTTTATCCATCCTGATCCCCACACTTGCCAAAACAACAGGAGCAGGGAAAAAAGCAATTCACTTCTTAGAATTAGGCAAAAATACTCTTTAAGTGACTCTGCTGCCTCTGCTGGAGCTCTATATAGTGTAAGGGAGGATTTGATGCCTCTAGAGGGGATTCTCTCTCTGTCAGGAGTGTCAGCGCTCCAGAAGCCAGGTCTCGGAGCTGGCGGGGTTGGGATGCGATCAGAACGCAGCTCAGCCATCCGTGCGATCTGCTCGTGGTGCTTTCCCAAGGGGAAGGAGGATGGAGGATGGATGCGGATGCGCTTGTTCAGGCTCTGCAAGAGACACTTTATTGCTCTCGAGAAGTAAATCAAGATGTTGTTTCCCCCAAGCAGCAGCAGCACCGAGTGGCTCCATGCCCCTGCAGCAGCTTTCACACTGCACGTTGTGTTACAGACATGCTTGCACAGAACCTCCGTGCCTCTCAGACCAGAGGGGTCCGACTGAGCTTGCCCAGCCCATGGGCTCCCAGCCCCCTGCTGCTGGGGCAGGAAGACCTCGGTGCTGAGTAAGAACTGCTCAGAGGTTGGTGTTTTCTCACCCCTGCTTTGGTCCCAAACCCAAGACAGCATCAGAGGAGCTACTGTGAGGAAAAAGAGCTCTGTCCCAGCCCCATACGCACTCCAAACCCATCACCTCCGCCCAGGCAGCTAGCGCCAGCACAGCCCTTGCTGCCTGTTTGTCCATCTATCCACATACATCTCCATCACTCGTCGCTGTTTCTTCCCCCCAAAACCATCTCCTCTCAGTGTGTTCCACAGCCCAGGTGTCTCTTGCTGGAACACAGGGACACTGCTGATGTCTGGAGGAGGGAATGGACATTTCTATAGGGACCAACACCCAGAGCTATAAAAGCAGTGGGTGCTGTTTAGATCCTGCATTTCAGACAGGATCTAAAGCCTTGAAGTGAAGCTTTAAGAACTGTGTTTTTTCCCCAGGATCATTCCCTAAACACAGATGTGCCAATGGGATGTTTCGCTCCTGCCCCTGCAGTGGCTGGTGCTGAGCACTCTCAGAGATGGGAAACTGGCTCCTCTGGTCCTTACTCACAGAGAGCCTGACAGATGGCTCTGCAAAGCGTGACTGAGCAAGGATGATGCTGTCTGCAGGCTCTGTGTTCATCCTGCTGGGTAGAAGCTGAGCATCCACCAGGGCCGGAGCCTCCCCCACGGCACAGACCCATCCTTGCCCTGTGTGCAGACACGCTGCTTGTGTGCCTCAACAAGGAGGGAGAAGCAGGCGAGGAGTATTCCTTCCTTGTGCTCACTGTGGAGCAATCACAGCGTTTCACAGAGGAGCACTGGTGGGCAGGATGCCCATCCTCTGGGGCAGCCCTGTGGCTTGGGTTTCTCACTTTAACGGCTCCTCACCCAGGCCAGAACAGTCAGTGATGCACAGAGTGAGCAAGAGATGTCTGTGGGGCACCCAGAGCACATTTACAAGTGATGAGGATGGGGAGCACGTTCACATCTGCACACCCAGGCTCAAATGCTTGAATCTATTTGCATGTTGAAGGTGATTGCAGCGCCCTGGAAAGCTGCCTGCTGATTGAACGCACCCAGCTCATGATTCAGCTGGCAAAGGCAGAGCAGAGGCACAGATGTCTGGAGCTCTGTGTGGGAAGTGGGGTAGCTGGAAATAGCCTGATTCCATTCTTCATGGCGTGCTAATGAGTTTAGCCACATGCCTCCAGTGAACAGTGAATGCCACGTTCCCCCACTGAACAATGCCATGATCCCCCATTGAACAATGCCACATTGCCCCCACTGAACAATGCCACATTCCCCCCATTGAACAATGCCACGTTCCCCCATTGAACAATGCCACATTGCCCCCATTGAACAATGCCACATTGCCCCCATTGAACAATGCCACGTTCCCCCATTGAACAATGCCACGTTACCCCATTGAACAATGCCACATTCCCCCCATTGAACGATGACCCACGTTCCCCCATTGAACAATGCCACATTGCCCCCATTGAACAATGCCACATTCCCCCATTGAACAATGCCACGTTCCCCCATTGAACAATGCCACATTGCCCCCATTGAACAATGCCACATTGCCCCCATTGAACAATGCCACGTTCCCCCATTGAACAATGCCACGTTCCCCCATTGAACAATGACTGCCACGTTCCCCCATTGAACAATGCCA